CAAGATAAAATGTATCCGATACACGTGAATCGAGAAAATCCAACTCAAGTGAAGAGAAATCTATTACGATAAAAGCACAAGGCCAAATGTGCCCGAGGTGCGTGAGTTAGGAAAACCCGATCTGTATGAAGAGAAATCTGTCACGACGGATGCATAAGGCCAAATGTGCCTTAGGTGCATGAGTCAGGAAGACCTAACCCACACGAGGAGAAATCCACCATGATGAAGGCGTATGATAAAATATGCCCAAAGCATATGAGTTGGAAAAACACCACTCATATGAGGAGAAATCCACCACAATAAAAACATAGGGTAAGATGTGTGAATCAGGAAAACCTAACCCAATTGAAAAGAAATCCATCACGACGAAAATGCAAGAAGAAATCATCATTATAAGGACCATGTGAGTTGGGAAAACTTGACCAATGTAATGAGAAATCTCGAACGTACTCGTATCGAATGAACTAAATGTCGCACTTCTAACCCCTCTCGCAGAGCTATGAAGCACGTCATGGGGGTATGACAAATGATAGGAAATACAATATCAACTAATCATCATCCGTCACGTAACCGTCATATGAAATCCTCGATGGGAGAAAAGATCCAAGTCACCATCTACCCGCCAGCTCGTGTAGACAAGAATCCAAAATGCAGGTCCAAAGTGCCCAAGTGTCCAAGTATATATATATATATATATATATATATATATATATATATATATATATATATATATATATATATAAGAGCAAACAAATAATATTCACTGTGCCCAAGTGTTCGCTCTCAGATTATATTTACTTTTGTGATCAACATCAATGTATACATCTTGAAAACGTCCAATTCAACAGTGAGAAAAATTCGGACGGATAAGAAGCATGACAGTCCACATGAACTACGCTAATGTGTCGTATAGTAACAACAATATATTGCCTGTTAGCAATTGCATTACCTTGCAAGGACTTGAAGAGTGACACAATCGTCCGCGACCATGCCAGGCCATGTTCTAATTGATTGATAGCAATGTAGGCAGAAGTGCATGGAGAGCAGCAGATTTGATGTCCCAAAAAGAGCTTACGTTCTGAAGAAACCAAGCCGAGCTCCTTGCGCAGTTGCTCATCAGGTTGCAAAGTCTCAGGAATTGCACCAAAGACAGCGTGCAGCCTCGATTCCAGAAACAGTATTGTGCAGGTATGCAGATGCTTCCTCTACACTTCTGCTCCAGTCATCCGAAGAAATTGGCATGAAAGGCGGAGGAGAGGCAAGTGCTTTCTCCTGGGTGGCCTCATTTAGATCTGCAGCCTCGACAAATCTCTCTGTGGCTGCCTCCAAGGACAGCGCATGCCTGTGATCATCCGTTAGGGGCACAGGGTCTTCGGCTAGAGCTGCCAGAGTTAATTTCACGAACTCATTGTTTGTATTGTACGTGTGACAATTTGGAAACTGTTTGAAGAATTCATTGGAAGGGTGGTTGGCACAGATAACAATCTTCCCCATGGCCAGTGCTTCTGGTGTTGTCGTGCAAATGACGTCTGTAGTGCTTGGATTAATAAGCACCTTGTAGCTGAGACCAATGGAAGATCAACAAACAAACAGAGAATTAGGTACTCTTGATTTGTTCATTTCTCAACTTTTCAAAGCAAACATGATTATGGGAGAATTTAAAAGATATTGAAGAGATATAAGAAATATCAGACTAGCTCTACTGCATACCTCCAAAAGAAAAGAGAAATTATACTACAGAATGTGTAGAATGGAAGAAGCAACATATGATAAAAATCAGAAATTGAGGGCTTGGCTTACTCATGGAATAAAGAATCCACATGATCACGGCCAGGATAAATTCTGACACCCAGATTCATCTTACTGAAAGTTCTTTTAATTTCAGCAGAGTCTTCTCCATTTCAGTACAAGTCTACTTGTAAATTAGATAATTCATTTTGGTGATCTGATAGTAGTTGGAGGAGTTCTCTGTAGCCTTTACTCCAAATCATCTTTCCAATAAAGTAGGCACCTTTCGGAAAGGCTATTTTGACCTTCATGTTTTAGCTCATGCCTCATTTTCCCAACCTCAAGGAATTTGGGGTTTACACCATGGACATTACAGATGGTGGACCTTGGGAGATGTTGGGTGGCAGATGATAACCTCAACCTGCGATAACAAAAAGCTATCATAGGTAAATCTTGATGCAGTCAGTTACTCTACGAGCTTGGATAGGTGTACGAGTTCATCAACGTCCGCTAGAACCAAAGACAAGTTCTTTTTCTTCTGTTTGTAAGTAATAATCAATAGTCCAGTCACAGAGACAAGATAAACTTAAACAAACATGCATGATTCTCTTGCAACACACTAACCTTGTGGCAGTAGATCTGAATAAGCCAGCTGTTGATATATTTCAACAAAAAGGCTTGAATCTGCCCATTTTTCTCTCTCTCTTCACATATTCCAAGTAATTAGAATGAATAACACCTATGACTCTCCAAAACTTGGTTTTCCATCTCCAACTATGATGGTACCATGTAAGATGTTCTGGTTCCTCGAGAATAGCAATCTCGACCATTTCATCAGGAATAGTTTCGGTAATGTCCCCAACAGGTAGAATGCTCCTTTTCTCTTTAGAGAACTGCATTTTTAGAAAAAGCAACACAAACAATCTTTTAGTAAGCAAAAAGGGTGATGAAGTTTTATCTGTATAATGTGGATGGAACCCCATTTAAACCACTCTTCACAGCAATTTGGCAGCCTGTATCATAAACCAGAAGAATGTTGATTATAAAGTCTAAGGTAATTTTTATGTCACTGAAGCTGATGACAGTATTGCAGCCCACTTAATGCAGGTAAAGAGTAATGATTGCCTCCAGCATATCTTACCTTGGCAGGATAAAATGTAATCTTAAACACTGAAACAACGTCAGCCTTCTCCTGGAGCCATCAACGAACATAGGCTTCATGCTCCTCCGTTGAACTAAAGTTGACTTTATCTGGATATACAAATAGTTGATCCTTCATTGATAGCCAAGAAATTACCAGAGTGACCTCCCGGTCACAATCCTTCGCTAGGTAAGCAGCACGAAACAAAGGGTTGACAGCAGTTCCAGTCATCCAGGGCAGGCTGGCAGTTGTGAAGATTGCAATATGCTTCTTCCGAGCCATCAAGTCACTAGATATTATTTACTGAATGAATGTCAACTCTTAACACTTGTGGCAATGCAGCCAAGTGAGGGATGGTAACAGCACCTCAAGCCCGAGCTGCATTTCAGCAAGAGAAGGTGCATTGTTACAAAAAGATATACCCTTTTGAGCAAAAGATGTTTAGATAAATTTTCTTTTGATGAAAACAGGAGTTGTTACCACCCACTTTCGTTAATAAAACAAAAGAATCAGAAGTTAGAAAACAAATGTACCAACATTTGTATCAAATGCGGGATAGGAAAGAAGATGCTCAAATTCTGAATGCTGGGCCATTCTACAGTATATTAAATGTAAAGACTAAAATCTGGTTGCCTTTAAACTTTGGTAACCACAATGTCATCGATATGTCCTGTCTAGGTTATAACAGAACTGATGCAAGTCATAAAAACAAAATTAAATACAGACAATCCCAGTGTTGTTCCAAGCTCTGATACTGGTTTGATTATTAGCTCTACAATAAGTAGATATGAGGAAAGCCTTCTTAGCAGACTCAATATCATGCCACAGAGTATTTGCATCGTCATTCCAATGCCCCTTTGGTTAAAGTAGTTGTGGTGACAACAGTCTTCGTATTAAAGTAGTAATCAAGATTCATGGTATATGACTGCCTCGCTAAGTACAGGTCTACACTTTTAGTTGCTAATCCACCAAATTATCATGGCCGAGCAATTACATACCAAATATGAAGGCGATGAAATCCTCAAGCTTGCTCACTCACTCAACTTAAAAGATTTATTCTAATGTGATCGATTTAGTAGAACACTCATCTACTAGATATGGCACTTGATGTATCTTATCATTGCAATTCAAAAAGCACTTTGAAAGAAAGAACATGATTGAGTATTTGCAATCATCTTTATGTAAGGTGGCATAATTCTGGTACTTTGAGCAGGGGCAAAAAAAGGGGTCCTGAATGAAGAACAAGAAAGACAAAAGAAAAGGAGGGATGTTCATGCGATGGTTGATGCCCTAGTGAGGGAAAAAGAAAAGAAACGTGCTCAAAATCATCGCTTATCGATAATACCTACAAAATCTTTCACACCCCAAATTCATGACAATCGTTCATCGTTGTCTCCTTTTGTTGCGGCATGACGGATGCAGGTAAAGAAATTCAAATCACAAGAAAAGCAGCTGCGAGGAACGAGCAATTACGAATTCTATAGAATGATGCAAACGAAAAATGTCGATTCTTCGATCAGGTCAGCTAAGAAAGGAAATATCCACACACACACACACACACACACAAAAAGGACATTGTATTGAAAATGAAGGAGAGGGAGGACAGAGACAAAAGAGCTTACCTCTCCGCATCTTCTTCTGAGGAAGAGAGAGAGAGAGAGAGAGAGAGGAAGCCGTCGAAAGAGGGAGAAGAAGATGGGAAAAGAAAAACAAACCGGCACCGTGCGATAAATATACGATACGGAGTGGAGTAGTCAAGACCGGTAGTTGGCCTGCTTCGTGATTCGACCAAGTAGTGGGGCCGGTTGCCCCACTACAAGGAAAAAAGCAGGTAGGGAAACGAGTAGGGCAAAACAAGTGGTGATTAATAAGTGAACCTAATTTCAAGTCAGTCAACCATGCACAAACCCTACCGGCCATGGCGGTGGACAAAGAAAGACAGGGATGGCCTGTCGCTGTGGGTTGTTTCGTAAAACGTAGGTATACGCTTTTGGCATTAGCTTGAGACAGGAACAGGGGTTGTCGGTGTTGGCGTCACGAGATAATTTGATCTCTCTCCTCACAGCAATCTAATAGCTTGTGCCATGATGTTTCTTTGATAATACATATTTCTATACGTTCTTTTAGATTAAGAATTCAAGCATTCTTTCTTCCTAGGATCGATGCTCTGAAACCTACACAATCATCATCATCTATCATCTATCATCTATTTAGGGACTCGTTTTAAGGTCCTTTACTGATTATGGCTAGCTACATGTCTCGGCAACCTGACGGGATCTCATCATCACATGAGAGCAGCATCTGCACCACCGAATCCATGGTTGGCCTTCGATTCCTCTCCTCTTCCACGCAAGCGAACGCGATCTCCATCATCACCATGGCCTGCCTCCAATTTACCTCCCCCTCCAGTCTGTGATCTACGAACTCGCCGATCCATGCCTCTTCTCCGCTCTCCAGCTCCGCCTTGAGCGTCATGATTGTCCTCCGCAGCACCAGGCCCACCTCTTCTTCCACCCCGTCCGCCACCCAGTTGGAGACTCTCTCCCCCTTCACCAGCTCCAGGAGCACCACCCCGTAGCTGTACACATCCACCTTCCCGTTGATGGGAAGGCTCGACGCCCACTCCGGCGCGATGTACCCCCTCGTTCCTCGAATCCTCGATGGGTTGGAGCCTGCGCCACCTCTGTTCAACAGCTTCGCCAGCCCGAAGTCTGCGATCTTTGGCTCCCAATCCTGGTCCAACAGGATGTTCTCCGGCTTCACGTCGCAGTGGATGACCCACTCGAGGCACTCATGGTGCAGATACGCCAATCCTTTGGCCACGCCCACTCCGATCTGGTACCTCTCGCTCCACCGTAGTAGTCTACCGGCGGCGCCACAGCCGAACAAAGCCTTGTCCAGGGAACCATTCTCGACGAACTCGGAGACCAAGAGCCTGTGCGAGCGTTCGGAGCAGAAGCCGAACATCCTGACCAAGTTCTTGTGGTATATCCTCCCAATCAGATTCAGCTCGGCCTTGAACTCCTCCTCTCCTTCAATCACGTCCTCCAACTTCTTCACCGCCACCACCCGCTCGTCGTCCAAGGCCGCCTTGTAGACGGCTCCGGAACCTCCCCTTCCGACAACATCCTTGAAGTCCCTCGTGGCTCTTTTCAGCTCTGCGTACGTGAACCTCCGGAACTGGCTCGATATCGCCTGGTATCCCTCGTCCGTCGAGCTCCGCTTCTTCTCCCTCCTGAAGATGAACCACCAACCAGATGCGATGAAGAGAGCCTCTACCGCGAAGAACGCCGAGACGAACCCGTAGAAGTACTCCCACTTGGTCATTCCACCCGCTTTACGACGCAACTCGGATTGACCCGCCAAAGGTTGCACCTTGGTGCCATTGCAAGCAGGTTCCTCAGCCGCCGCTGGTATCACAGGGTATCGCGAGTGTTCTCCTACGTTTCTCGCGAGTTTCATGTAGATGGTGTTGCCGGTGCTCTGAGATGATCTGCCATTGAAGAGGCTGGTCTTGGGATAGCACTCTCCTGATCCCTGCTTATACCCGAAAGCTTCACACGAGCAGTCCTCGCTGCAGATCTTCCTGCACTCCCCCAACGAAAGACCACTGGTGTAGTTGAGATCGAACCCCCAGAAATCCGTATAGGGAAGCCTCAAGAACCGATTCTGGTGAGGATGGCAACTGATGTTGTGCTTGCGCTTGCAACCTTTGCTCCAGTCGCTTGGGTCGTTCACCTCGAAACCGGGTGGGCAGGTACATCCCACCCTGGCGGAGTAGACGCAGAGCCCGTTTCGGCCGCAGGTGCCGTGCACGTCGCAGGGCTGCAGAACCGCCTGCCATGACACCGACCAAGTCCTGGTTTGCTTGCTTAGGCTGTAGACTCGAAGGTTGCCGTCGTAGTCCAGAGTTAGCCTCCTTGTGATCCCATGGCCGTAGTCAGATGCATTGAACTCCAGTTGATCGCTGGCGTAGAAATGCCCCATCTCATCAAGAACACCATACCTGGTGCTGTTGTAGCTGGTTCGACCGTTCACCCACACATTGTACATGGGATTAGGCCAGTAGATGCTGGAAAAGTCCGGCCCGTCGTAGATGAGGCGGAGGACGTTGTCCGTGTCGAAGTAGAACCTATAGTAGCCAGACGAAAGCAAACCCGAAGCGGACGCGGAGACCAGCGGCGTGCTCTTGGTGATGGGTTGCATGGGGAGGAGAGTGTCGGTGGGGGAATCAAAGCTTTGCCACAGAGTTGTGTTGTCGGCATCGACCACCACAAGATTGCCGGTGTTCAGCAGCAGCGCGCGGTCAGCGGAGCCGGAGCTGGTGTTGCTGCTCCACACCAGCGTGCCGTCGAAGTCCGTCAGCGCCAGGCGCCCGCTCCTGCGCAACGTGATCCTCGAGCCGCGCCCGTTCACGAGCTGGTCGCGGTTCGCAGTCCAGGCGACGGTGGCGTTGGCGGAGTTGGCGAACCAGATGGAGAAGGCGTAGGCGTTGGAGCCAGCCTTGTAGAAGCCGCAGGCGAAGGACTCGTCCTGCGAGACGAGGATGTCGGTGTCGTCCTCCACGGAGAGCGATGAGCCTCTGGTGAGAGAATCCCGGCGAAGGGCCGAACAAAAGGGAGGAAGCGTGGAGACGACGACCAAAAGAGCAGCGAGGATGCAGGGACGAGAGAGTCTCTTCATACTGCACAAGTCGAAGATTTTTGCCTTCCCTACGTTTCTCTTTTTCTTTCCTCCCTTCCATCAAGAGTTTCTTTTATGGTGTATGCATCATATACGTCGTCTTCTGACGTGATGAACCAACCATCGTTTGGAAAACATCAAGTTTAGATGACGATCGATGAGCACTAAACGTCAGCCATAAAGACCGCAGAACGTGAGTTGACTTGGACTTGACCCTTTGCTAGGATTGCCGACTTGCACGTCAGCCGATAAAATATATGAGGTCGAAAATGGGGCTAAGAATAATCAATCCCCCGTTGTGAAGGTTTATAAGACCGACTTCCAACATATTAGATTGATATCAGATCAAGTCTAAGTGATAGTAATAGATCTTATGATCATTTATTACTAATAAAAGGGAGATGAGCCTCACAAGAATAAGGAAGGGGAGAGTTATTAACTGTAAAAGAAAAAAGAAAAATGTTGAGAAGATGTTCATGTATAAAATAAGGATAGGAAAAGATGATTTAGTCTCGTATTGTCACAAATATTGAATTGATCCATAACTAAATGATGACAAGTTTAGTTCAGAATTGTCTCTCAATTTAAAATTCTCTATTCGTAAGTTGGAGCCACCATAGAATAACAGCAGTCATTCGATTTAAGATTCACAAGCTGCCAAAGTTTGATTCGCTGGAAGAAGAACAACACATTCACTCAGAAATTATCTTCAATCGACAAAGCAAATGATGTGGTTTCTTTGGTCTAATCAATAAACCTAATCCAAGTTTTATAATTCATGTCAGTTAATCATCATCCGACATAATCGCTACTTAGAGTCCTCCATAGGAGTAAAAGTTCAAGTCACTTTTTACTCGCTTGCACACGTAGATAAGAGTTCAAAAGCAATTTCAAGATAAACAGTTCAAGGCTCTCTTATTATCCACGTAGACAAGAGGCCAAAAAGGAATTATTGAAACGATTAAAAATAATTTTCCTATAAAATATTTTATGAAATAGTCTATCCCGTTGAGATTAGCTATAAAAGCTCATCTTCATTATGATAACGAGGAATGGACTTCTTTGAACTACTCGCGTCCATACTAAAACATATCGGACTACTCACTTGGGCATCATAGAGATCGAGTCAGGAAACTTCTCTCAACCTCGGTCTTCGTATAGGTGGCACCTTGGGAGCTTGACGTTTTCACTTTAGAGGCACCTTAGGCAACCCTACGCATATAGGTTCGGACTACATCGAGCTGACCAAGATGTCAATAACTTCTTCCCTCATTATTTTGGCATTAGAAGGAGGGCTCAGTGTCGTAGGAATGATCGTCCGCCAACCTTCTCAATGAACGTTCAAGTGAGGAGGCTCTGCCCCCGACCCATGTACTTTCACTCAAGGGGGCAATAGCCACCCTTGACTTATATGAACGCATCTACCTCGATGTAAATATCGATGTAATATTAGCACCTATTTAATAACCTAGGTTTCTCACTCTTATGGACGACCCCGAGCCACCTATTCATCCCTATTGAACTATTCTTAAACCTCATCTAACAAGTGCATACGCTAATGAGCACAATACAAGCCATCACTCTACTTTTGACCTAGCTAATCCAATAGGCAATGCCACTAGTTTAATTGTAGTCAATAGCTCAACCACCGTCGGCATGGGTGCCCATCAAGGTTCCCACACCTAACATAGTGTTGACATCCTAATAATGCTCAATACCCACCGAACCACCAGCCAAAAGAGACACTTCACTCTCAACCATGGAGTTTAGTGGACCACACCACCACTCTACCTTACCTAAATCCAAGGCACAATTGGGCAGATTCGATGGATGATTCCCTTCGAATCTAACTATGATAGATATATCGATACTTGGAGGAGATAAGATGAGAGTTTTAACAATCCAAAGGGGAAGCACTAATCAACCCCACCTCAGGTCGGTCCTCATTCACCTAGAAAATTTAAGAGAAACCAATCATGATGAACTTTTGCCTCCCGTCGTTGGAGGTATTTGATGGGAGTACCAACCTGATGGAGCATATTATCACTTTTCGCACTCAAATGTCATTGTACAATACTTTAAACGCCCTAATGTGTTGCGTCTTCCTAACCACGTTAAGAGACTCGATACGAGAATTGAGACACTTGTCTAAAGTTGCTCTCTATCAATTCTTTTGTTCAGCACATAAGAGAGTTTGAGCTTCACTTTCTTAGGAATATGTGCCCGAGGCTATCAACGGTAATGCTCCTCAGACTTAGACAAGGGGAGGAGGTAATGCTCTCAGACTTTATCGCTCGGTTCACTAACAAAATCCAAGACATGGAAGATGCCCATCCATCGCTCGTAATATAGGCCTTCATGATGTGATTTAAGTTCTTATCTTTTCTAGTCATTGGTAGAGAGGCCACCAACGATGCTATTAGAGATACTTTAGAGGGTCAATTAATACATCACCATCGAGACAATAGTCTCAGATAAGTATGAGGTGTCATGCAAAAGGATGAGACAAGAGCGACTACAAGTCGTCCCGACCTTAAGATCACCATAGCGAAGGAGAAATGAACAACCCGAGTTGCCTCACCCAAGGTTTGAGCTAACATATCTGAATATGACTAGAATTGAAGTTTTTTTACAAATAAAAGACCATGTTAGCGAAAAGAAATAGATCCAAATATTAAACTTCCACTATGATTACAACTATGACATGAAGGATTGTTGTGACTTGAAAGAGCATATTGAAGAGCTCCTACGTCGGGGACACCTTCGGTGATTCATCCAAAGGCACTGAGAATCTTCACCTCGACCTTAGCGGTTGATAGAGAGACAAATTAACATCATCATTAGTGGACCTATCTTAGGAGGAGATAGCTCGTCGAGTCGTAAAGCTTATACTTGAGTTACTATCAAAAAGTGCTTGAAGGCGGGAGACAACTTAAAGATAACCTTCAAGGAGGAAGAGATGAAGTATATTGACTCGAACCATGGTAATGCCTTGGTAATCTCTGTTAAGTATGATCAATGCTTAAGTGAAGAGGGTCATAATCGATATATGTAGCTCTGTTGATATCCTTTATTTTGATGCTTTCCAAAAACTCAAACTCTCGATTAATAGCCTCACCCGTATGACTTTTTCATTGATAAGGTTCACTAGCAACTCAATCTCTTCTCTTGGGATCATGAAACTACACATTATCTTTAGGGATGAGCCATCCTCTAAAATGGTGTTGACCAGATTCATCGTGGATGATATCCCCTTAGCATACAACATAATCATATGATGGCCCATACTGAATAAACTAAGGTCAGTGATGTCGACCTACCACATATTAATGAAGTTTCTAACGAAAACTGACATTAGAGAGTTGAGAAGCAACTTGAGGGAGTCGTGCTAGTGTTACCTTACGATAGTCTCCATACCAAAAAAAAAAGCCCAACCCGAGGTGCCACCAATGGACCCAAAGATTTCACTAAGTTGCTCCTCCATCTAGAGCCGATGAAATTGCTAATTGAAACACCCCTTGACAAGGCTGGTCCCGATCAAGTTGTTAAGGTCGAAACGATATTGTCCGGGGAGGAACAAGTGCAGCTCATCAACTTCCTTATGTGGAACACTAAGATGTTCTCGTGGTCACCGAGAGATATGCAAAAAATTGATCCAAATATAGCGCAGCATCACTTAATCATTTCACAAAAGCCTAATAGATTGTTCACAAACAAGTAGTGATAAAATAGATAAGTTGTTAGGAGTATGGTGTCTTATCAAGGTACAATACCCCTAATGACTCGATATTGTATTTATTAAAAAGTTTAATAGAAATTAGAGGATATGTATTGATTAGGTGACATAATTTTGGTATTTTATTTAAGGTGACATAATTCTAGTACTTCGAGCAGGGGGTGAAAGAAGAGAAGCGTCTTGAACGAAGAATAAGAAAGATAAAAGAAAAGGAAGGATGTTATGCCCTAGGGAGGGAAATGAAAAGAAATGTGCTCAAATCATCGCTTATCGATAATACCTATAAAATCTTTTACACCCTAAATTCACGATAATCGTTCACCATTGTCTCCTTTTGTTGTGGCATGATGGATGCAGGAAAAGAAATTCAAATCACAAGAAAAGCAGCAGCGAGGAACGAGCAATTGCGAATTCTATAGAATGATGCAAACGAAAAATATCGATTCTTCGATCAGGTTAGCTAAGAAAGGAAATATCACGCATTTGGCCTCGAAGGACATTTGTCGGAGAGGGAAAGGGAAACACCGCACTCGTCGGAGAGGGAAAGGGAAAGGAAATATCATGATCTCTTAACGAACAATTCCAAGAAAAACCGCACTCGTCGGAGAGGGAAACACCGTTCCCATCCTCCCCCTACATGACATCTGTCGGCACTGTGGACTAACAGTGGTAAATACTGGAAATAATTGGAAGCGTTGATGCTTGGCAAAGCTTTTTAAGAAGGAAACAAGGAGAGAGAGAGAGAGAGAGAGAGAGAGAGAGAGAGATAAAAGAACCAGACGATAATTCTCTCTAGAGCTTCACCAGACTGCAAATTTGATGATTCGCAATCTAAATCATGGCAATATGCAGGTGACGCACCTCATATCAGCAGCTGACTACAGGGTAAGACGGGGACAACCAGAAATTATGAAATGATGCATGGCACTTGACATTTACACAACCAGAAAATATCTTTTGAAAGTTGTAGCAAAGAAAATATCATTTGAACGCTCTAGCAAAGATTGCACAGTATTTAAAATAATGAATAGACGATGCAACCAACATTTGATACATCATCAACCACTTACAGTGGAGAAATGACCTTATTCAGCAAGGAGCTTGCTTACGAGGATCAACTGTTACTACAAACCTAAAACAACACGTCCTACACTGAAGAAGAAAATGCAAATCCTTTGCAAGTACTAGCTAGAACTGACTCTTGCATCAACTAATAACCAAATCCTCATTACTTCGTGGCTGGATATATTCATTTGCCTGTAAGGAAAATTCAAGAGGGAAAAGTTTGTAAACAGCTACAAGACGCAATAGATAGAAACACTAGTAAGTTCTTTTCCGGAAGACCAAAACCAAGTATTCATGAAAACCCTTCTAGTGCATAAAATTCATGCAGTTTACAGGATACTAGAAAGTTTCGACTGTATTTAGGGTTGAAAATTTTCCATACCTAGAGCAGGTCCAAGGTCCCAATCTCAAGCTTGAAGCTGACATTGCTTCAACAAGAAGGAAGCCAGGTCGGATATCGTTTATCTATGAGTCAAGTTTAAATGACCTAAAAATTAAGCCTGCAGTTCATTTTAAGCTCAATTAGCTTTCTACATCTAATTTGACCTTTTATATGGAAGGTAGGCAGAATTTGATCAAAGTTATAAGCTCCACTATAAAATGCCAACCTGGTAAAAAATGCAACTAATGGACTTCCTATAGTTTTATCTCCAGAAAACTTTGATGGTTGACTCAATGGTACTGAACTGAAGGAGTCTTAAAAGGTAACTGATGAAAGTGCACTGGTAGATAATGAGAGTCGGGATAATTTCACCATTATCATGTTATAGATTATTAATACAGAAAGAGACAGAATTGACCATAGTGGGAATTAGATGAATAGTTCGATCTGGATTCAAAAAAGCAACACAACCAAACAAGTTATATTAGCTGGCCGGACCACTCGAATTGACAGATCGGCAGGACCAAACCCCTACAGCAATCAAACTCATACACTTCTCTTACCCTTGCCCTAAGCTCACTCCTAGTGTCTTACGGTATTCATCTTCACCTTCTCCAGCTTCTAAGTTCAGATGTGGTGTAAAGTCAATAAAATCTTACGTAGAAATAGTTAAATCTCAACAATCATCATATTACACTTTACACAGATAAGAAGAGAAGATCAGCGCTAAATTCTGAAACTTACTACACTGGAAGATTCCGGTGGGTGTACACTACCCCTTTATCACCATCGACAATTTGTCCATTACCTTTCAAAATCCTAGATGAAACACACAAAAAAAAATCACACAATACACAAGGATTTCATATACTAGATGAACAGAAACAATTTATACAGGTATTACATGCAAGGAGTCATGATAGGCAAAGCTTCACAATCAAATGAATGAAAGTGCAGTGCTCTAGTGAACGATAAGTTATAGAAGTAATAGCACAATATATGAATATTGCATTCTTGCACATCAATGAGAAATAAATGATGCTTTGTGATCAATGGGTATGTTTTTGCTAGCTTTAGGAAATCTTTGTGATATTGAAAGCAAGGTGTGAATACTGTTCGGTCAAGTCTTGGCTTTGCTTTGCATTGATTTTCTTCATTTTTGGAAATATCAAAAGTTGATATTTGGTCTATTCAGGCTCATTTCGAACTTTGAATCCTTAGAACTGTTGCATCACCTTTCTAACTGTATAAAACTATTCATGAATACCGAACATATCAAAGATGATGATGATGATGATGATAATAAAGTACATGCATATATAATCATCATTATATTTTTTCTGGAGTTACCATTACTTTCATACTGTAATAATTATTATCATGAAAGGGATCCTGGCTACTTTTAAGTATATAACCATGTAAAGTTTGTTCCTGCAAAAAACATTCAGTTTACTTTTGCACAAAAACTTGCTGTTTGTGATCAATAGTGTAATGATAGCTTGATAAACACCAAATTTTCAAGTGTTTCAAGAAACTAAAAAACCAATAAACAGGGAAATAATCATTAGCAGGACTAGGCAAAGTAATTTAATGTGAAACTTACCATCGGGTGGTTAGTAATCCTTCGACACCAACAGGTCCCCGAGCATGAATCCTACTTGTACTTATACCCACCTTCTCAAGCCATAAACAAATTATGCCAAAAAAATTTGACAATAATAATATATCAAAAGAAAAATAATTTTAGAAGAATTACCTCTGCACCAAGTCCAAAACGGGCTCCATCACAAAAGCGTGTGCTTGCATTGTAAAACACTGCAGCACTAAATAAGGAAAAAAACATCAAGCTCTTGTCTTCCGATATTCAATGTACACATATAATTGAGCTATCTAAGAAAGATGACTATAGGAAAGTACAGAACAACTGCAGTACACAACAAAACATTACTGTTTTGGTACATAGTTATCTGAACAAGCAAACTTACACATGAGATTTTGATATATAATTCAACAGAACCAACAAAAAATTTATTGACTTAATCTAGCTAAAATAGCAAACATGCAACCTTATAAACAAGTTAGTTAGAGAAACATTATCTTGTAGAGCAACTAACCGACTTTATTTCAACTAGAAGGTGCGTTCAACACAAATCAAGGGGTTGATTATTTGATCCTCAATATGCATAGATATTCCCCACAAGGATTGAAATATTGTACCGTACCGAAGTTTCGATATTCTCTCGGTACGATATGGTGCTGTATACCGCTCGGTATATATATATATATATATATATATATATATATATATACATATATACATACATATATACATGTATATATATACATATATACATACATATATACATACATATATATATATATATACATATATACATACATATATACATACATATATACATATATACATATATATATATACATATATATATATATATATACATACATACATACATACATACATACATATATATATATATACATACATATATACATACATATATATATACAATCATATATATATATATAAGTAAAAAAAAAATTTCGACGTCGCCTCTATATATATATATATATAATCTTTTATTTATATATCTATTTGTTTATATATATATTTATATATATAATTTTTTTAAAAATGTGCGAGGTCACCTTTATATATATATAATTTATTTATTATTTATTTATAAATAAAAAAATACCGCTCGGTAGCGAGCAGTCCGCATACCAGTTTACTGTCGAACCGATATGTACCGGACGTTATTATTCGAAACTGTATACCTTGATTCCCCGAGGCTTAGGCAATTTGCTTTATCCATGCTATATGAAAACTTGCCTAAGCCTCAGGCCTGTGCCAGCAATAAACACCAAGTCCAGTAAAGTGATCCAAAAATGGATCATACAAAATTACAAACTTCGAATGAGTCTTTCATCAAGCTTGGAAGTAGTATGAACCAAGGTATGCAATACCGTACCATACCGGTGTTTCGAGGTTGGCTCAGTACGGTATGATACCGGTGTATCGAGCGGTACACCAAGGCTTACCGAGCAATTTTCTCTTACTGTAGCACTGTAGCATAGCTACAGTGTATTACTGTAGCACTATAGCACGGTCCATCCGATAGTGAGCAGTCCGCGTACCAGTATGCCGTCGGACCGGTACATACCGTTCATACCGGGCGGTATCATTCGAAATTGCATACCATGATATGAACTATGAAGTATGAACTATGAAACATGGTCAGTTGGCAACAAGTTTAGAACTGCAATAGAACAGTTAAAATCCATATAAACTGGCTATACAAACAATTGTTTCTTTCTTTGCTTAACTATTCAATGACGATTATTATGACTTTGTCACATCTCAGTAATTCACAACAAAGGCCCAGACCTACTTCCCGTTATTTGACAAGGAAACATCAAATTTCAGCATCATCATGTGCTCCTATGTAATTCAAATATCCACTCCATAGATATTTTCAGATCTGTAGTCAGATTATTTTCAGATTTCAATGTCATGATTCATGATCTTTATTGATTTAAAAGTTTTGAATTATATATAAAAGAAAAAAAATACAAAGAAAAAAAATACATTCTTGATGTTACAGTGAATTATTTTAGGTTATTGAATTATTATTATTTGATTTTCCTTACATTTGCATGATGTTGAATAATAATTTTTATTGCAATTTTATCATGTTATTTGAATTTTATCATGCAAGTACTAATCAAAATCAGCAGAAAGTGGAGAACTAATGTAAAATCAAAAAACCATTATAGTAACATTTTGAAACTAATGTAAGATGTTATCTTTCATCACCTTAATCTGACCTTAACATAAAACTTAAATCTTGAAGCTTATTCTAACAAATTAATGTCTCATTTTAAAGTTGCTTTACTTTTAAATGTGATCCTTGATGACAAATCAAAAGAACCAAGAGAGCGATCAAAGTTTGCAGTAATAGAAAATTTTGTTCCTATTAACTAAGTGCAACTTTGTAAAATAGCTGCAAGAATATTATAATAAATAATACTAATTACAGAAACAAAAAAATGCATGATGCACACAACACAACAAACAAGAACAAAGAGGCAGCCTGCCTTGTACATATTACACCATTTAAAACAGCAGACAGATACCTGTCAACTTGATGGAGGAAGATCTCTGCAGCTTCAAGATCCTTGGCAATAATGCAGTCAGTATGCGCACTGAAAAACGAAAGCAAACATTCACTTTTAATAAAGTTAATTACTTAATTTTAACCATTCTTTCTCAACGATGGCATTCTTTCTCATTGATAACAGAGAAACTAAAAATAGCAGCCATGATGATAGGTGCCAGCCAATAAAACTTAAATTGGAAAATTCAAGGTCAGTAGAAACTAAAATATACCTTCCATGATGATGTATGTGGTCAATAGCAGCATGTATATCATCAACAACTTCAACTGTACAAGCCATTGAGTTGTATTCATGATGAAGCAACGGTGCTTCAGGAATGTCAAACTCAAGACTTGCTCTAGGTCCACCAAATAAGGCAACTCCTGTGATTGAAAATGGAAATAAAATTCTGTTGGCATTTTAAAACAACCATTAATGTATAGAAAATAGAAAGAACTTCAACAGGACAAATGAGATGCTTAATTTTGTGAAGATTCATTTTATATGTTTTTTGCACATTAATTGCACCAATATTCCACTAAATTAGCACTAACCAAAGCACACTAATGAGATTTTAACAATGATCCTTATAACTTAGAATGACATTAGGACCACCAAAAAAGTAATGATCCAAGTAATCTGCGATCTTAAAAAACTTTATATATATGAGCCTTGCCATATAGCTTAAAATGCTTAAGACCAAGAATCGAGGAGTCAATCATCAAATGTACAAATGCAAGCCTATATTTTCAATGTCGAGTAATCAAAAGAACACAAAGACTTCATTTCACCAGTGTCTTTTGTCATGCCATGTGAACCATTGTGACTAGCCCTACCTGCAACACAATATCTTAAGCTGTAGCTTCTATTGTAAACCTATACAGCTGAGGAAATTAACTGTCAGTGGGAAGTAATCATATTATATCTGGAAATCATTTATAAGATGGAAATCAACCTTGTTGAATCACAAGACTACTGCAAACAAATGAACCTGGTTAACAATCATCAATGTTGACCTGCCAGCCTTTTGCCGACTGGCCAAATCTTCTGCTGCAATAATTCTTTGTACACCATAAAACTTAGCCTACCTCCCAGATTATAAGAACACACATCATGCATTCAATAAAACTGACAAAAAAATTTCAAGGCTACGGATGCCCAACCTTGATTGTACATTACATGATAGTAAATATTGATTCACAGCACCTTCAAACACCCACACTAAGGAAAGATTGGATGGACTTAATGACAAGTCTTATAGTCTATTTATAGTATTTTTCGAGGATTGAAATACCGTACCATATCGCTGTTTCAAGCTTGGCTCAATATGGTATGGTATCATGTACCGAGCGGTACACCAGGGTGTACCGAACGGTACACCTAATTTAGGTGTAAAATCATCCGAAAATACCTGGAAAAAAAAATACATACCTCTAATTAAAGAAAGAGAAAACATATTTCTTGATTAGAAAATTCTTCCTCGTAATCTTCCCAAATTAGTCTCGATTCAATTCACAAATCGTTGTTTTGTAGAATTTAGGAGAGCGCAAATATGAGAAAAAAAAAAGAGTTTGAGATAGTTTAAGAAAGAATAAGAATGAAATGGAGTGAAATAGGGGAGAAAAAGAGTTTTAAAACCTATGAGAAAGGGCTGACCGTTGGAGCACTGTTACCGAGCGGTAACAGTCGAAATCGACCGTTACCAAGTTGTGCTGGCCAGTAACGGTCGAAATTTCAACCGTTACTGCCCAATATAACCATGTGTCATCCGATACGGGGCGATGTTAAACGTTCCGCCCGGTAGCAGGCGGTCCGCGTACCGGTATACTGTCAGACCGGTACGTATATTATTCGAAACTGTATACCTTGGTATTTCCTATCCTAAACTGCTCTCTATCATAATAAGACTTTCAATGCTCAATCAATTGTAATAGTGTAATACCACTTGGCCATGACTTGATAATCCTAATCATGTCCACCTTTAGAGAAGTAGCTTAAGACCACTCGATATATCATTCTTGTGCTAAACCACATTAATCTTCTCTCCAATCAAAATCACCATCATGATTCTTACATCCCTAAGAAGCTCAAAATCTTATGCATCCTCAAATGAAGTTTTTGCCTAGCAGCAGCAAACCAGAAAACCAGACATGGTACATGCTGAGAGGAACAGGGACGTGTACTAGCATTAAAATAGTTCTACCTGGAAAATGGAATCCACGGAAAGAAAGAATAGTATGCCACAATTAACCATGTCATATTTTCTAATACAAAGAACTAGAGATGCAAGACAGAGACATAGAACTTAAATGCATTTATCTGCCTTGGGAATAAAAAAAGTACTTAAATGCATTAGTCGGCAATCAACCAAATTTGCACAATGGTTACACTTTAGCTGATGAAAAGTCTGTTACTTGATGATAATGATCAGACCTTCACTTTTGAGCTCCACTATTAAATCATTAAGCCCCTCAGTCTTCAAGAGATCCTTGTGTATAAGAAGTGTTTCCTGCAAGAAACAGAGATCAATTTTAAATTAAATAAATTATCATCACATAGTTTAGAGACAACGAAGTGATTAATAACAGATACATTTGACTAGATAATGTATGTTTAATTTGAAGGAAAATGGAATTGCATAGGAATCCCTAGAGGATAATTTTTCAGTAGTAGAAAAACAGCAGAGTCAATAGTGATTTCTTGATGTTTCTCTTGATTTGATTAAGAAAATTAATAGAACAACATCTTGGATGAAGTATCAAGCACTTGAATTTTTTTCGATCGTCAACACACAACTTGGGTAGAAGTGCAAAAAAACAGACTAATGCACTAGACTCCAGCCAATGAAGTCCAGAAGGGTCAAAGGTACCAATGCTTATTTAGTTCAAAACTATTGAAGACATGAGCCCAAAAAAGGACCAATGTGGCAAAGATGATACTCCTTTTATTCAATGGCAAAAGACGAAAGCACAAACTAAGTAACAAGCAAAGTTTATAACATCACTTCGATAGCCAACAAAGATGCAGACAGGGCTATTTTCAATTCAGTTTAGTATGAGCTGTATAACCCGGTAAGCTCACAGCAACGGACTTGCCGGGTTGTTTACATGCTTCGAGTGGTGAACATATCATGTAAGCAGACCGATACCAAATTGTGTCCTATCCGCTTCTCTCCTACTCTCTCTGGTCTAAGCAGTATTGATCTATATTGTGTTGCAAATGTGAATCTGTACCAGTAATAGATACAAAACCAATCTCTAACATAGTAGAATCTGTACTGGCGATAGATACAACCACTCTCAAATGTTTCAATACTTATGATAGATACAAAACCAATGACATAATCATAATAGAATTGATTTCAATAAGATGAAGAAATACCATAGCATTACAAGCTGCTGGATAGTCAATCTTGGCATCTAACACGATATGCTTTGCCATTTCCATGTCAGCAGATTTGTCAACATATACATGACAGATGCCGTCTGGAAGGTAAACATTGAGACCTCATAAATAGGACTTCATAAACATTGAGACCTCATAAGTCTCTACCATGACAGATGTAGAGAATAATGCATCATAAATAGGACCAGAATTTTAAAAGAAAATAATCAACAAGTAAATATAGCACTATTGTTTGCAATACCTGCATGACCTAGAACTGGAATCTTGGTGGATTCCTTGATTTGATCAACGAGTTTATTACTACCTCTTGGGATAACAAGATCAATTACATCATCAAGCTGGAAAGGTTGTCATAAGGAGTGACAATTATGGATCTCATGAGTAATGTATCCTCAAGAAAGTTAAAAATCGGAAGATTATTACTCTAATGCAAGCTCACCTTTAGCAAATCTGGAATCTCATCTCTAGATGTAACAAGCCCAATAAGCTTTTGGCCTATAAAATCTGGAATTGCTCCCGTAATGACCTAACAAAATATGAAAGCTTCGAAAAGTGATTTTGTACCTAATGGAAAAGAACTATTTAACATCAAATTTGTGTGTATATATATAGATGAAACAACTGTTTGTAGGATGCACATTCTTGAAGCAGAATTTGCATAAAGAAACAAACCTTATGCAAGATTGCATTAGATCTCATGGCTTCTTTGCCCCCTTTCAGAAGAAGGCCATTCCCACTTCGAATAGCTAAAGAAGCAATCTACAAAAGAAGAATCACCATCATAAAAAGAAGGGACATAAAACATGTTTTTATATCACAAATAGTACTAATTTCAAGTAAAATGCATGATATAATGAAGCACTTTGAAAGCTTGAATGTCCTGAAATATAAGAGTACACTAAACACATAAACAGGAAATACAACCATACTTATATACATATTGGTTAAGTGTATCACGATTGAAGGACAAAAGTTCCCAACTTTTTAGTAACAAATCTTTTCAAACAAAATCCCTAGCAAAAGAATGTAGATGTTCAGTAAAATGACAAGCCCAATATTTTGTGTGCAGAATCCAAGCGAGAACGCTGTGATGTGGTTAATGGGGACAGGAGCAAACTATTCTGGTATGCATAGCTGAACATTGTCTGTGTGGATCCACGAGGCATGCTGAGATGGCATCTTCGTAGTGGCTGGCTTATGGCTGAGGTGGTAGACAGTTTACCGCTTCACAACTTACCTTTTATGAAGAAAAGTTATAAAGATTTGCATACTTAGGTACATCCATACATAAATGTCAGCACGCGTACTATTATTATTATTATTATTATTATTTTCTATTCCTTAAAATCTGAATTTGCAAGGTAGTCGTTCAAGCTTTCTTATCTGTACATTATTCCTAGAAACCTTAGTGCAACTATAGAAGAAAAAAACATTCTGAAGATACTCCATAAAGAGAATGAAATGTTTAAATTCTCAACTACCTCTTTCTTCATCAAAGTGTCACTGCCTCCAAATTAGAGAACATAAAAAAAGAAAATGTTGGCCTTTTTAATCCTCACGTTTTCAATCATCCCCAAACCATTTATTGTTTGGTGAAGGTATACAAACACATATTTTAGCTAAAAAAATCCCAACCATGATCCTTATTGTATATTTTAAATGTTTGGTATGAATATCAGGGGATTGAAGAGGCAAACTATTAAATTTTCAAAGTTTGAATGGGTGGTCAATGAAGCTGTAATAAAGGAAAAATGATGGTGACTGAAAACAAAGGGATACTAAGAAATATACATCTCCCTCTTATCTTTGAAGTTATCTATTATGTTACTTTCATTAAGATATTTGTCTTAATCATAACATAAAGCTCTTTTGCTCCTATCCATGCCAATTTTGTTGCTTGATTGTAACCAGACATAATAAAGAAAAAAGAAGACTTAATGGCATGCCAACATTCAAAAACAAGTATCCAGGTATCATCTCCATTTTTCATCCCTATTTTCCAATTAATCTATAAAAATAAAGGATTCACACTTACCTAGTCAGATTTCAAATTTTTCTCTCATCTTTTTCCCTCTTTTCATCTTTTAATTTCTAGTAGTGATGCTGAAATGGTTGGAGTGGTGGTGGTGGGTAGTGGTGCTATATTAATGTAAATGATAATAACAATGGCAATGGTAGCAATGGTGATGGTGGTGACGATAGTAGTAATGTTGGTGGCAATTGCAATGGTGGTGATAGAACGGTGAGTTATACCATGCATAACAATGATTGTGGCAGCAGGGACAATGGCAGTGTGTGCCATAGTGATGGTGGCCACAGAAGTAAATGTGATGATAGCAATGATAGTGGAGGTGACAGCATTGGGGTAATGGTGCTAACGATGATAGTGACAAACTGCCAATGATGGCTTGATGGGAATGGTGTCTAATGTGGCAGCAACAATGATCCAATTAATTTAGTACAGAAGAGTCTTATAGAGTTCAGAAACTTCTAATTTTCTGAGGTCTATACAGAGTCAGAAAACTGAAAAACCAGTTTTCCAGGAAAATTGGTTTCCATCTTTAATCAAAGAAAATGTTTTTTTTTTGTATTCTTGAAATTCTTTTTGGAAAATTGGAACTTTTTTAGCAAGTAAATATGTCCCTTGCTATTATCACTGATTGAATAAATATGAAAACAATAACAAGAATTAAACAAATAATAAATGACTGAGAGGCATGACAACCATACAACAAGCAAGCTAAACAAGATCAGAAGATAGGCTCAGAATATAAACAAAGTGGCATTAAAAGCTTACCCAAGCCAATCAATCATTCATAATGTCTATATATTAACTTGACTGACATGCCATAAGAAAAGTTCAGAATATAAACACAAAGCAGAATAAACATATAACATGTATAAATTAACTTGATGTAACATGTCATAGAAAAAGCTCAATGTGCACATTCAAATAAGACCAAAATGCAATAAATATCATTATTTTCATATAAATACATGCCTCAAGATAACTGTTTCTGAAATATTCAGTTTGTTTAGTCATGAACAGGAAAGAAACAATTAGTCTGTAGATACCTGAGTAACCAGAGGTTAAAGAACTACCAAACAAGCAACTAAAGCTGATACTTCTGTCTATCCATGACCTTAGCAGAGATAAGCTCAAGAACTTGGCTAGAGACTAAGAGGGGGAGAGAAATCTTGACAATGAAAATCCAAAATCTCGGATCAATTCAGAGACAATTTTCAAATAAGTAGCTATTATTCTACACAAATAAAGGTCTATTAGTTATAATCTACATTGTTATGAGCATTCAATCAGTTGGATGTATAATCATTACATTTGCAAAGATCAAACATGCCATTTTCTACTTCTAGATCACCTGCACCAATGATTCCATAGTGTTTTTTGCAACCCAACAACACTTGAAAACAAGCCATATGATAACCAAATCCTTACTCTACATTGTCAACAGATTCTCATAAAGAATCACCTCAAATATTTGTCCAGAGAACAGCTATCACATAAGACGAAGAGTATGGAAAAGGCATAATGTCATAATAAAAGCCACAATATAACCTTTTGCTACTTTAATAGCACTTGCTTAATTATAGTTTTTTAATTATTGAAAAGCTGAGAACCAAACTTTCCCCAAGAATTATCTCTAATAATATGCTATTTCTTCATATTTCTTAGACTGAAGTGTCCAGAATTGATTATTTAATTGAAGCTTTAACGAATGAGATGAGGCATATTACCATGGAGATAAAAGATGCCATATCATTGTAGCCTCAGAAAATTACACCATATACATAATGGTTGATTATCAGAAAGGTGTTATGTTTTCGTTACTAAAATAAGCTGCACAAATGTGTGTTGCTGATTGACAAAAGCTAATTTGTGAAGCATAAAGTAGGTAAACATCATGGTGTCAAAAATCCAGTGGCCAGTGGCCTAACTTGCTCATAAGCCACAAGAGAAAAGGGCTATATCTTTAAGTGTTATGGTTTACCTGAACTAAGGCATCAGGCCTGGACTCAAACACAATGAGGAGAACGCCCAAGGGGCAAGATGTCTTTTCCAAGATTATTCCTTCTGCAAGCTGAATAAATAGTATACATCAGATTTTCAGAATTCTGAAACAATGTACCACCACGATGAATAATTTTACTTGCAGGCATTGCATTTGCACCAAATTCTAACTACCATCATAAACATGCAGGATACATGATATCTGCAAGTACTTACCTCTGTTCTTTTCAAGACACGATATATTGGATCTTCCATATCTGCAAGTATACGAATGGAATTTGCAAGGCTAGATATCTGTCAAAAAGTGAATATGTCTAATGCAAATAAGATGAGTGACCACAAGGAAAACATTAATATAACATAATGCTACTACATTTCATAATACATAATAAGAATTTGAATACAAAACAAATAGTACCTCGAGCTAGAAATCAATGTAAGGCTATAATTCATAAATATAATCTTGCAACAAGGAAAATAACATAAACTTGTAATTCCTTGCCTTGCCTGGCTTCAGAGTCAATCTAGAAATCAATGATTTTTCATATTCAGCCTGTTGCGCAGCTGCAACATCAGCCTCATTTTCAGTTCTAATTAATTCCTCATTTGCCTCTAAAGCATCGGCAATGTCCAACAAAATCTTCTTGCGGGCCTCTGATGAGACAGTCTGGTGATAAACCCAAATAGGAATGAGTTGAAATTTATTAAAATGGTACAAAAAAGGACCAGCAATTCATGTATTCTTTCTACGGTATCCCTATCATGTACATTACCTGAAGTCGCCTGGAACATTCCCTTGCTGAAACTGCCATGTTGTGTGCACCATCTTCTCCAAGCAGCATCCACTTACTTGCATCCTGATGAAAGAGGGTACCAACTCTCTCACCTTTAAGTACCTTTGTAATGCTATCAGTAGTGAAACCACTTCAAAGACAAAAAAAAGAGTATCAGAATTTAATATATATATAAATATATATATGTATGTCACCAAACTTTTGGATGAAGCTAGTTGGATAAAAAGAAGAATCAACTTCTTGTAAAGATTGAATCTCTTAAACAGCCACATGAATCAACAAAACAACAATGTTCAACTGCCTGCATAATGGCAGGCAATGCTTCCACCTTCACTTGCTACCAGGGTTCTGCCTTATAAGTTCTGTTACAGGATCAGAACCTTTTTTTTCTTGCCCCCTGAGTTTTCAAGATCAAATAGGTGCAGTTTTTAACTGACTCACCTAGTCTAAAGTCTCAAGTTTTGATTTAAAGCCCACACCAGTTAAGACCCTTTGAAGTATTAGGACATCAAGGGTTTGAGCAATTGAGAAGTACCAGTGGACTCATCCTCCTCAGCAAGGACTTTAGACAAGTATCTGCATGTCAGCAAACTCCACTGGAAGAAGCATGAAGATAGTTCCACCTATAAACTAAAATATATGGTGCATAAGATTTCATGAACTTGCTAAAAGCATCATAAATAACCATAGAAAGGTCAAGGCATGCCACAGAAGCTATTGAAACCTAGGCCTTCATCCACATCCATTGGACTCCACAACACCAAATCCTGATAAAGTTCTTATGAAAATCAGATTGGCCATGTGAACAGGATCATGGAGCAGCTCTTTTAAACTCTATTCAAGTCATACAAGGATGGCTGACATGCAAGGATGCTTTAGAATTAATTGCAACAGATAAGAAACAAACATGTGAAACCCAAATAAATTGTCTTCCTGTACCAAACTTTAGAGGACTGATGTGTAATCAGACAACTCAGTTGCAGATAATAACAAAAGTTCAAAAAGAAACTGCACATTGTTGCAGCATTGATTATTCAGGGCTTGACATTAGAAAAAGAAGGCAGCAAGACGATGAATACCTGGTGATCACAACAGGGATGCCTGCATAAGCAGCATAGACTGCAGCCTTCACTTTAGCAGTCATACCTCCTCTTCCTACCCTGGACTTGTCTCCAAAAGTTATCTCGCTCTGATGCCTCTCTTTCACATATGTATGTATTAATTTTGAATGTGGTTCTCCAGGGGGACCACTATATAGACCTTCAACATCACTTAGCAGAACAAGAAGATCAGCTTTTAATTCCAAAGCCAACAAAGCTGCTAGACTGTCATTGTCCCAAAAGATGCCAAAAGAGTCCTGCAAATATTATTAACTATTAGGATAAGAGCCAAATAATGAATGACATGGTCTGAACAAAACAAGAAGAACTAAACAGATCATCAATTTATAATAATTAGGCTCACAACAATATAACAAGTTAATTTTGAGATTTTTAAACAGTAGAAAAATCCTGTTATATTTGGTTCAGTGAAAAACTTTAGCTACAAAAGGATCATAGACAAAGTGGCAAATATATAAATGGCATACATCAAACTTTCAATAATATGATAATCAATAGCAAAAGCCAAGAAGAGATGTTTTATACACATAAAACCCAATTTGTTTGTGATGAATCACATGTCATTTTACACACAAAATATGATATAGAAGTTTGTAAATTAAATAAAATGAAATGTCTGGCATCACATACTCTAAAGTAAACATTCTAAACTCAAGAAGCTTAAGAAGTCATTGGTAGAAGAAGCAAAAGTTGAAGAACTTGGCTGGTATTTGTTCCAGCTGTTGTTAATATATACACATCAAACCTAAAAAATTTGTCATTGCAAATAACAAAAATCTAATTTCCCCTGTACATTAAAACCCAATTTGTTGTGATGAATTGCATGTCATTTTCTACATAAATTATGATATAGAAATTTGTAAAAAAATTATATAAAAGAAAATGGTTCTGGGCCTTCTGGCATCAGATACTCCTAAGTAAACATTATAAATTTCAAGAAGTTTATGAAGTCGTTATTAGAAGCAAAAATTGAAGAAATTGGCTGCTCTGTTCGAGCTGTTGCTAATATATCTAAATCAAAACCTAAAAAAGTTTATGTTCTCATTGAAAATAACTAAAATCTAATTTCTCCTTATCCTAATAGGAAATAGCAAAAGATTTAATATTATGTTGGTATGCTAAAATTCCATAAATACTTAAAACAGTTATGTAGTCAAACTTCATGGGACAAAATGTTGGGGTTTCAGAGAAGTTCGATTTGGATCATCTATCCTTTGTGACCCCTTGTGATGCTCATCGTCGCCAATCGTCACTGACCCAGATCCTCCTCCTCTTCCTCCTCCTCCTTTGTCTTCACTTTCTTATCCTTCTCCTCCTCCTCTCCTTTTCTTCTTCTCCTCTTCCTCCCTGCCTCCATCTCTTCATCATTACCATGACAACATACAACGTACTGCATGTCAATACACCAATATGAACTAGACCCATACCAATCCAACTAGTAACTGGTATAGGTCTAGTATCTGAGATACTACACCATGCTTGTTACAACTAGAATAGAAGTCAAAAGATGATAAGGTACCAACAATTATCTTCAAGTTTAAGTATGGCATGGCATCAGGCAGCAGAACCTGATAGAGAATGGCAACTTCTCGTAGTGGCAGCCACCAAACAAGATAGATCCAATTACAAAATGACATGTTTAGCTAATAATAATTATCACATTTGACATACCTCATACGGAGCTTTCCTCGTACTTATTGCATCATTTTCATTGAAAACAGGGATAACTCTTAAAGCTAACAATGTATTCACTGTCTGAGAGAGTTGCATCCGGAAATCTGGGTCTTTAAAATCACTATCAGTGACAAGAAGCTGAGATGATGTCACATCCAGCTGCATTACAAATTATATTACTGTGATAAAATAATACAGGTTTTACTGTCTAATGAATCAACTAGAAGTATGTGCAGCAAGAAACAAGCCAGAAACCATGCCTGACTAAATAAGGTATCATATAAAGCCATTAGGCCACTTTGACCAACAGAAGCACAGGCTTTCCCATCTAGCTCTACTTGCGGTTTCTGGAGATCAGCAAAGCTGCAAAAATGGAGTTAATATGATTGGGATAATAATAACCAGGATTTATATGTTGACGCATCACTTCTCTAAATAAGATCGTTTTGATGAAAACCAGAATAATCTTGTACCTGCTATTGACCAGTTTCCTGTATCTAAGCCTTTGCCGGCCAACACCAACTGCACCTGAAGTGACCATGATTACTTCAAAACCACTAGAATTAAGTTCTTTAATCTGCACATATCTCATTTCAATTGGTAAGAAGGCATAATGTTTAAATTCTTATATGCAAATATAATGTAATACGATTGATGAAGCACTCTTGTAAATGAAAACAAAAAAGTTTCAGTATATCAACACCTGCTCACAAAGGGCCCCCAGTCTTCCAAGAGCCAATCTCCCTTCTGTCCTTGTGACAACTGCAGTCCCCACCTAACATATATATAAAAAGAAAGTAAGCACGCATCCAACTTTTCCAGGCAGCTACTCTAAAGATATTTGGAGCTATGTCCTCAGACTCGTGGCATTTGATGAAATATTTGACATTTGTATTCAGAGTTTTGTTGGACTAAAGCTTCCATATATGACATCTTTTACGCATGTCATCATCTGAATAGTTTGGTCAGCCTTCATACAACACATATGGATGGAGAGAAATAGAAGAAGGCTACTGTCGGATTGTTTAAGATACCTTATATGTCATACTTTTCATGCATGTTACACTCTGAATAGCTTGGTCAGCCTTCATAATTACATATAGGACAGAAGTACAAGAAGGGGATATCAGTCTGTTCAAGATACTACACCTTTCCCAGGTCTTGTAAAAGACTATATCAGTGTAATATTATGTCAAAAAATGGGATTCAGTTTGGAGTTGCTTGCTCATTGGTTTGTTGTTGGCGTAAATTTATATATTACGATCTGTATGCGTTGAGTAATTCAATTTTTCTCTCTTTTATAGTGCTATTTTTTTTATAATTATCAGCTTTCTTTAAGTGTAGCAGATATCAGCACACTTTTCTGGATGATTGAAAATCATAGTTATCCAAAGAAGAAAATAAAGAATATGCCATTTTGCAGGCACCATATTGGAACCTTCCCCCTACAAGAACAAGTAACATAGAGAGAGTATAAACAAAAATCTTGAGCCTTTTCTTAAGATGATTTAGACGTGATCGCTTTTAGAAACAAAAGGGCAACACCAGTTAATTCCCACAAAATTGACAAATCAAAATATTACTAGATTCTATCACCATATACACCACATTTTGGAGACAAATGATTCAAGCTTTTGGGAAAAGGATCAAAGCACGCAAGGACAAGAAGGGGATCTACGAAATTAAAGACCAAAGTGCACCCAATAGATTCTATCCCCACGTACATCACATGTCAAAACAAAAAACAATTATAAATTATCATTTTATCATGAGAAAAATCAAATCACAAGTAAAGAATCCATTTCAAGATTAGACAAGGGTTTTACTAGACCCTAGTGAGGGGACCTACCGGATCAAACACCAAGATAATGTTAAATATATTCAATCCCTATATATGCCGTACTTAATAAACAAAAGTGATATTCTGTCTGCCATTTTCTTGAGAAGAAAGAATCAAATCACATATAAGAACCGATTTCGAGACCGGAATACGGTTTTACCAAACCCAAGAATGGAAGAGCCCCCAGACCGGAGAAGGATGAAGAGGGGATCTATCAAATGAACCACTCATCCCCACGTACCACTTCAGAGGCAAAACCGATACCCCATTTACTGTTCCATTGAGATAAAAATGATCAGAGAACACATCAAGAACCGATTTAGACAACCGACTAGAGATTGACTACACCCAAGAGCAGAAGCTCCGAAAATGGGATCTATCAAATCAAAGACCGAGATCCACCAGTAGATTCTATCCCCATATGCACCAGATTATTTTAGGCAAAAACGATTCCCCATTTGCTGTCGTACTGAGATAAATAGGACCAATTCACACAACAATAAAGAACCCATTCCGGGCTAGGGTTTTGCTAAACCCAAGAACGTAAGAGCTCCAGACCGCGACGCGCAAGGAAGGAGGAAGAAGAGATCGAAGGAGATACAGAAGCAGGAAAGAGAAGCACCTTTATGACGAGGCGCTTCACTCCCTTGATGAAATCTCGAGTTGGATCCATGGCGGCTGCGCGCGGCGAGTAGACCAGGTCGGCTAGCACTGGAGTCGGAGACGAGATGTACGTGACAACCTCCTCTTGTTAATGCTGTTGCTACGCTTTATATCGACCCATCGGCCTCGGTCATCACCTTTGTGCCCTCCTCTAGGATAAGATTTTTCATCGATTCTCTTTGCCTAAATTAAATAAGATAAAATGGATAACAGAACGAGGACGAACAAGCAAATATCTGACAAGTCCAGGGGTTATTAAGTAATTGCGTGATCCATTCCATCCATCTTCTCATAAAAGTAAAACAGAAACACTTCGTTCCACAGCGGCAACAACAAAAGAAAAAATCCCGTTCCGCAACAAAAACAACCCCTGTCCTTTCTCTTCCGCCTCTCATTTCCTTCTTTTATTTCCCCGATTCTTCCCGTCGTCGCCTTCGACTAATTGATTTCACGTTCCGGCCCGGTTTCTAGGGCTTCGACTAGTGGGATCAGAGGAGACCGGCATGGACTGGGGACGACGTGAAGGTGGAGGACCCGTACTCTTCCCCGCGCCCCATTCGGAATTCTTCTCCCGATTCACCTTCCCCAGATCTTACGCCAAATGGAGCAGCCCAATCAAGTGCAATCTCTACTAGTAAGATAACTGGACCCGACTTAATTTTCTTTTATTATTATTATTTCTGCTATTTTGTGGTGAATTCCTGTGAAGATTTTGTCGTTCATAAGTTCCTGGATATAATGCAGCGACAATTCATGTGTTAATGAAGTAAATTCCCAGAGTTATCTCGTAAAAGATGGTTTTTCCCAGTGGATCTTTGTGGAAGTATTGGTTACATCACTTTGATGTATGTGGTATTTGCAAAAAGAACCATTTCTTTGGTAGGATTTAGCATTTCATGTCGGTATAGGCTTTTGGTGGCCTTATATTTCAGAATTAATTTATGGTTTCGACGCATCTGATTCATAATATTTTCGATGCCTGGAGTCTCTTGTCAACTTTGAAGGATACCATACTGAATTCTCTCTTCCATGAGAGTTTTCTGCAGCTACAGGACAAATTATTTCATTCTGATCACATTCATCCTCCGTAAGAAAACAACTAAGACTATAGTTTCTGCTATATTCCTGATTTTGGTTTATCTTGGTGCAGGAACACTTTTATCCTTTCAACTTTAATGCAGCAGTGGGTTTTCTTTAGATCCTTGTGCTATCCCATTCCTGAATGTTTGGCAAGTCTCTGATGATGTTTTAACTGCTAAGAGACCGTAGGTTTTTGACATTATATTTTCTCATACATCCCCACACAAACACATTCCTTAAGAAAAGGAAAAGAAAAAGGTGGCTCATATGCTGATTTAGAGTTAGTTGTAGGCGTAGAGCGGATGATAGCATCTCATGCATCTAGCTATTTAGAGCAATAGGTTTATGACAAGCAGGAGCCCAAGACCGATAAAGACGCAGAACATGCAGAAGATATTGTTGAACATGGCATGTGTATTGCTTCTACTTCACATCCATGCACAGTGCGTCTATCTCAGGTTGCAAAATTGGTGCAAACTTTAGAAAGTTAAATAGGAATCAAAATCTTAGATATTAGATCTAACTACTGAGACAAAATGGTGACAGCAAAAATGATTGATTTAGAAGGGAGTTTGTGTTAGTAGTTTAATGAAATGGTCAAATGTTGTTGCATTTTCATGAAAAATGTGTCATTCTTGGATGTAGCCATCATTTCTTTAGTATTATTTACAGATTTAATGTATTTAATTATAGTGATCTAAAGTATTCTGCCATGTTACAGATTCTGATGTGTGATTTACACAGCTTTGCAGTTACTTTTGATGAGAAAATGAAAAGGACTGTCAAACGCTTTTCTCCTCATTAGCTGCAAAGTTGAGGCCACCAATAGCGGGAGCTCTCGGTCTGGCTTTGACACTATTTATCTGTATTGTGGGTGTCAACTAGCTAATGGAACATATATACATAGACCTGTTCTTCGTGGGCGACCGTCTACAATAAGAGCAATCCGTATTTGTGGACAGCCTTGATGGATGTTTGTCTTGATTTTCTCAGCTGGTAAATCTTAAAAGTCTCAGCTTCTAACTCCGTTAACTTAGTAATATAGGATCGACAAACCCTTTATTGATAGATAACATTATAAAAACTCATTGACTTAATTCTCATTACAGCTAGTTGCATCCTCTGGTTGACCACCTCCAATCTGGTTGCTGTGCTTTGGGCACTCGTCGACGGACTGCTTGGTACTACTTTATTTACACTATGTACTATGAGGCATAGTCATTTTGATGGCATCCTATGGTGACTGATTGTTTTGTGTAGCAACTACACTTAACGCAACCTTCCAAATGCCTAACCTGAAGGCATGGCTTAACACATGATGTGAGGAACTTGGTGCAATATGGCGCAACTATAGTGTGTTACAACCACAGAGGTCGATAAGGAGTAAGTTCTTCAAAAGTTTGATGTTCTATTCTCTTCTGTGCATATTATTTAGAATGAGATACTGCCGGAAGTAGAGTAGCCAAAAACTCTTCCGTGTTTCTTTAGCATTTCATCATCTTTTCTCTCTCTAATCTACTATGAAGATGCTTGATGTTTTTTTTTCTTTTGGTATGCATTAATATATGTAGAAAACATTTACCATATCTGTAGGTTGTTTGACATGTATTCTTTAAGAGTTTTGTATGCTTAGTTACGGAGGAATTATGGGTTGAGGGTTTTAGTGGTAGAAGAAATCAATTTGATTTTGTCTCTTTCCCTTCCTAATAATCTTGACAAAATCTTTATCTAAAATCCTTGTGGAGTTCTTTTTTATTGTGGTGGTCATAGAACAAAGCTTCCAATCTACGTTTAACATTAACATAGTACTTCATAGATCCCCGGAAAACCAGGGATAAACTGACGTCCCCAAAGGAATAGGTCAAAGTAACTAACTGACTCTCGTTTTCTTTGCTGACTATATAACTGATTTATTTATCTGCATCAACAACAAAACTAAGTTAGAACACAATAGTTTGGCAATTTTAGCCCAAAAGGAATAGGATGGATAAACAACCCTGCCATGGTAGTTCGCTGCTTTTGATGAAACTTTCTTGGGTAGTAAACCTGTTTGCTAAATCATGTTTCATTGGTCTTCCTCAAGTGATCATAGGAAATAACTAGAGAATCATCCGAATCCAATTCCCATGTAGAAAGCTACAAGAGAGCAACTTAACCTAATTCAACAAACAATGCATATTAATTCAAATCTTCAAGCTCTTAGCAGAAACATACGGCAGCCATGTGTAGGAAACTTGCAGTTGAGTCAGCTATAGGGATGACTGGATTCAGGAAATGTTGTTGACCATGTCACTGCTACCTATCCTTGATTTGTGGCGGAAAATGAGCCGTGGTGGTTGCGATTTTGCTAACCATAGGTGTGCTTACAGTAACTTAAAAGATTGTGGTTCAAGATCTACCAAAGAACAAACAACCATAGCTTAATATACTGTAAAAGAGTTTGATGCCGCAAGAGAAAATTCACTTTATTTCATCATCCCTTGCATGTTTTATTACACGGGTAAGCAGAGGTGAAAAGACACATACACATCTGACAAGTTTGTCCGGAAAGAAAATAACATTAGTCCCTGCTTTGCACCCCCGACAAACTTGTATCTGCAGGCACGACAACGAAAAGAATCGCAGGCTGACATTTCTCACATACAACCGACACAAACTGACAACTATAGCTGCGAGAGCACTGGCGTGCAGGTCTCGCCTGCTCACATGACTATCTCAGGCTTCAAGATGCTCGATTTGATCTCTTTATGCGGGAGAACAACACCTCCGTTGCTGTATATTTCGTCGGAAACATGCACGTCCTCCCCGAGGATCGTCATGTTCTCAATCCGTGCCCACTGCCCCACCGTCGAGTGCCACCCGATGATGCTGCTGGAGATGCACGCATGCTTCTTGATGCGGACACCTCGCATCACTGTGCACCTTGACAGCCTAACTCCAGACTCGATCACACATCCGGGACCGATGGCAACATCTGGTCCGATGAGGCATCCCTCCCCTATCACGGCATTCTCATGAACCAAGACATTCCCCACGATGTGTGAGCCAGTGGCTAGTTTAGATGAGGCCTTCTTCCGCAGAGACTCTAAATAGAGCCGTAGGCCTGTGATGTAGTCCTTCGGCTGTCCAATGTCCATCCAGAAACCCGGTAGGACCATGGCATGGAGTTTCTGGTCTGCTGCAATCTTTGGGAAAACTTCCTTCTCGATCGAAGTTGGCCTCAGCTCGATACGGTCCAAGACCGATGGATTCAACAAGTAAATCCCAGCATTGATCTTGTTGCCTACGAACACTTTCGGCTTCTCCACAAATCTATCAACCTTTCCACTCTCATCCATGACGACGACACCATATTTGGATGGCTCATCAACCTATCGAATAGAAAAAGGATGGGTTGGATCCAGGTACGAGGTAAAAAACTCTATAACCTATAGATGAGCAAAGCTAGAGTTTTGTACCTTGGTCACCATTATTGTCGCCTCCCCACCATGGGATTTGTGGAACTGTATCAGTTCAGCAAATGGGTATTCACTTATGACATCACTGTTAAGGACAAAGAAGGGCTCCCCAGAACCATCCATGAGCCTGTCTCTGGCCAAAGCCAGGGGACCAGCCGTTCCTAGTGGCTCGGTCTCTTGGGAGCAGGTGATTTTGATGCCAAGCTTATCCTCAAAGTCTTTCAGAAAATTAAGCATAACCTGAAAAAAGAGGTGACCAAGATAAATAATATGTGCAGCAGAAATAAAAATGGTCAAAACATTAAAGTATGAACATCTTTGTTTCTTGTACCTCTGGTCGATAATTGATGGCCAAAACAACTTCAGTCACTCCAACATCTTTCAGAGCTTCAATCTGGCCAAAAAAGTAAACTATAGGTTAAACAAATCAACTTGGTTAAAATCTCATGCACAAGAGACCTACCAGCATATTGAGACTAAACCTGACACAGAGAAAACCCAAAAAGTTCCAAGAAGGATTTCTGGCAAAGAAGCAGCACTCTACAAGAGTATTACTGGATTTACAATAATTGGTAGACATAAACAATTTTACTCAATTCTTTTCAACTATAATGGTTGCAAAGTATATGTCTTTTTTTTGAAATGAAATCTCATGTAATCTCAATCTTAAAAGGACAATGCAATTATTAAACTGAACAAAAAAATAGAATCAAATGTAAAATAGTTGCAATGGGCCAAAAGTGCATCAGTTTAGTAGACAAGTTTCCCGGTGTAGTCATCTTGTGCAAAAGTTTCCCTTATCTTCTTTAAAGTAACCACTTTACTTTCCTTCAAACATAGAACAGAGTGCAAAAGTTAATCAAGTGCTGAAGCCAACAATCATCAAAACAAGACACTCAAACATGATATTCATATTTCCTCATTTCTTTGAAGTAGTAAATATTGCAGAAATCCAGAGAGCACTTACCTGATGAAGGATCATCGGTTTGTTAGCGAAATCAACAAGTGGCTTTGGGAAACTGAGTGTCAAAGGTCGGAGGCGGGTGCCAAATCCTCCAACAAGAATGAGCGCCTTCATGGTGTATCCCTTCCTTTTTTTCCCCTGTTGATAAGATATCAAGATCATAGAGTAAGCCAAATAAAAGAATCCCTACCTATATGCAACTCTATTACAACATTTTGTACAATAAGAATGACCTCAAAAGCTTAAAACTGCAGACTGGTGTCGATAATGCATGGCAGAAAATTTCTCAAATGCTAAAGAAGATGCACAAGGATATGGAAAAAAGCGAAAAGAATTAAAGATGTGGAAAGAACTCGGAAGGTTATGCGGGTGGCATTCGAGGCGTAAAAAGTGGTGAGCTTGAGGATCTAATCGTTGCTATGCTCTAGCTGGCTCAGAACTACGGACTCCAGGTAAAGCACATGCTGAACTCATCAACATGTAATTTCCTTTTTCCACACAAGTGTGAGCTGACAGAACTTAATTCCCTACTGATTACAAGAGAAAAAAGAGAGCAATTGGACCAAGAATCTCGCAGATACTGGGGAAAAATGATCAGAGAACTAGATTATTCAATGAGATCAAGCCTCTAAGACTTTCAAATCGACAAGTACAACTTTCCTAGTACCTCGTCATAGGAATCAGAAAAGGAAATGAAATCAATAAGACCAAAAACCTTAGAGGAAAAAGGCAGATCAGGTTATTATCCCCCCAAAAAATGAACGTTATTTAGTCAAAACCATCAAATTCAACACTATAATGGTAGAACTAGAGACAAAGATACTGTAATTTCAAGCACCCTACCAAGCGTGAAAAACACCCTAATCGAACTGCACGAGCACGAAGATCACATCATAAGCCCGTCGTCACCTCGAAAAGAAACGCGACGACGAACCTACTGCTCCCGCGCGTCTCGATTCCCGACTCACATCGACCGAGAGATCGAGAACCCGCGGGATCCGAGCCGATCACTAGCTGCGAACAAAAAGGGGGGAAACCAAACGAGACCCAGAAGGAGGAGGAATCGGAATCTCACCAAAATAGAGATCTTGGGTCGGGATCCCGGCAGGAGGACGCGAATCAAGGCGACGAAGAGCCGATCCCTCTCTCCTTCCCTGATTCGCGACGAAAAGAAGGAAGACAACGGACTTCCCGCGACGCCGAGTGCCGGTTTCAAGCTCACCACCTTTGCCCCCCCCTTTTATAGCCCCCGCCGGATCGTAAATCCACCCTTAATTCCTTTTCTAAAAGAAATTAAAAATCCGTTCATTTTAAGCTTTTTCTTATCCGTATAAATACGACAACTATTTAGGTGAAGTGTTTGAACCCCATGTAATAAGAGTACGCCACCTCTCTCTGTCTTCTCCTGATGGGTGGTGGGTAGATGAGCAATAAGAACCCTAATTGACATCGACCTAATTTTCATATCATACTACCAGTAAATTTGATCGATATATGGAACTAAAAAACACAGAATTCACCGTACAAAATGAATTAACATGAAATAGGAAAACCTGCAGTGCATGTGATTGCCTCAAGCTAGCCTGTCATTTGGCCGCACGTAATTAATGTGCAGAAAAGAGCTGACGTTGGAAATATTCGTTCCAACACGCAGATTTTGACCGTCGTAAAAGGACCAAATAATCGAGTCAAACCGTGATCTTGAGACAACCTATTCAAATATACGGTCAACCGCGGCTCGGGATCCAACGCACCGCGGCTCGTAAATCCCTCATTCTTTCCAAGGTCAACTCCCATCTTACCTGACATGTAGACGAAGCAATGTGATCAAATCGTTAGATCCACGAGATCTGAAATAGCTGATTCCCAAGATCGACTTAGCTGGAGGCCTTCAGATCCGACTCGATCTTCACCAAATCTCACATCTTTGCCACTTCTCAGGGCTTCATTGGATCTCATCATCCTCGCAATTTATCCACGTGCCATTTTTCGATCGACCACATCGGGGGTAATCATAGGCTTAAATGCAAGATGTATAATAGCACGCAATTATGCTGCGTGCATGATATTGCTCCATTATTGTGGCTTCAAACGGAGTAAGACAGATCCAAGCGATCCAGCCAACACAGACTGTCCCCCTCTGATGGAGACGCCTAACGCCTCTCTTGTCTGTAGAAATAACTGTCGCATTATAATTATTATCATTATCAAGTGAAATAATTGTGCACGCATTTCATGACGCTCCTGTCGCTACTCTTCTCATCATATCAGCAAATAATTCGCCGGAAAGAACAAACTGTATGACGGTGCGTAAAACATGTGCATAGCATGCACACCATGTGATATGCGAGCGTTTTTAGCGCAAGTCTCTTAGAACGCAAGAGGTCATCAAGCTGGTCACTCTCTTTTGCATTCACACGCCAAACCTGGTTTGAAGTTGGCATCATGGCACAACAATGCCATAGATCGACCAAACTATGTTCGACTTTCCATCCTTTGGTTGGTAGCCGAAACTGACAATGACAATAATATGTATAGATAGATAGATATACGTTACATGGGCCTGCATATATCCAATGGACCGAGATGAATCAGTTTCCTAGATTAATAATCCTGATGAACACTGTAAAGGCCGGCACGCTTTTTCTTTTTATTTTTCTTCTTATTTTAAGCCTTTTTTTTAGTATAAGGATCAAAGGCCGGCACTCCATTTTCTTTATTGTCGAGCGAAAAATATAATGAGCAAAGGCCGGCACTCTGACCCGGTCTCAAGATTATAATACGCGTATCCGCTGCCCATCGATTAGGACCAGATGGAAGACGAGTATCTGGACTCTGTAATTGGCTTCGGTGTCGGGTTCGACTGTTGAAGCTGTGCAGCGGAAGGCTAACTCCATGCAGAGCAGTAGTAGCCTCGAGGAGGAAGAAGAAGAGCAAGTGGCTTCTCGCATTGCTCCATCTTATTTTCCTGTTCCGTTTCAGTTCGAGAAAGGGTTTAGGTGGTGAGGAAACATCACTCTCGGTCGATGGAGCTTAATGTCATGCAACAATATTTTGTAGAGAAAGGGCTTCTAGAGGAATGCTTCCTTCTTCTTGCGTAACTTCGTGTTGACTCGGCAGTGTTTTGACACAGAGGGAGGTGTAAAGTCTCTACATATATAGATTTCAGATGAAGACTTTATATGAGTAAGGTTTGGTTGGCTTTGAGGTTTGGTTCTCCTTTCCTTCGCCCTGCCGTTCCGTTCATGCAACCCTAGCGGGCGATGGAAGCGACCAAGCTTGAAGAGAACGGGGATCGGGCTACCGGCGCACGCTCTTTTGATTGTAGCTTCTGTAAGAGAGGGTTCTCTAACGCCCAAGCTTTAGGAGGCCACATGAACATGCACAGGAAGGACAAGGCCAAGCTCAAGCATCCCTCTCGCTGCGGTAATCCATTCCCTTCCAGGAACGCCGTGCCCTCGTCTCTTCCGATCGTCGGTGGCTACACGTCCCCTGCGAGCCATGAAAGCGCGTGCATCTCCACATGGCGATGGAGCTTCCCAGGTGCAGAAGACGACGGCTACAGATTCGGTAGTCTCGTGGATTCCGCTCGCCGGTCGACTTTGTCATCTCGAGCAAATGGTCAAGGATCGAGAAGTGGCAAGGTGGTGGAGATGCATCAGACGAGGCACGGCGTGGTCGAAGCAGACATAGATCTGGAGCTCCGGCTGGGTCGATCGGTGACCTACTTAAGTTCTGAGGACAAGACTCAGCAGGGTGCTTCTTTCACGGAGAGGATTCTCTGAACAGTTTTCTTTTGCATTTTGATAGCTCATAATCATTAGTATTTCATGTTGTTTCTTCGTGATCGACTGGAAGCTGAAGTATATCCAAAAGATAAATGAATCGGTTGATACATGAGAAGTTTCATGAACAGAGTTGGGGTCTATTGGTTGACGATTAAGAGTGCGAACTTCCGATGCAGAGAGTTGCAATCTATTTGATCATAGTTTCTCTTTGCATCTTATTCTTATAAGAAATTTAGATGTTATGTGATGCAATTAATCTATCGACAAAAGAAGCTTTAAGCAGTTTTATGAAGTAACAAATACAAGTAAGATTATCGACAATGTTCATTGCAAGTTGTTAGTGGATGTCAGCACGGTTTGGTCCAGTCCCGGATGTATAAGGTTGCTCGAGTGGATGCTCAGGTGGTGAGGGCGAGCGTCGAGTCGGGTTCGAGCTTCGTCCCTCGAGCACAGTCTTCTCTCTTGGCGAGTGGCCTACTTCTCCATCGTTAGACTCTTGCACATAGATTGAGGTCGGGAGGGGGATTTTCCGACTCGACCCCTCCGAAGCTTAAGTTAGTTTTTGGTAAAATGAGATAGAGTTAAGTGTTTGAAGTCACCTCCTTCCTGATTAAGGAGGGTTAGCTTTTATACCTGCGAGGATGAATTGGTCATACGGGATCAATTAACTACGGTCGGCTCCTCGGACGACTGACTTTAACTTCTGTATGAGCGTTGACCGACCAGCACGGATCGACGCCGCGCGGCACCACCCAGAGCTTTCCGGGATGGATGTACCGTAATGATGTCGTTCGTACGGAGGGCGCGACATGCGATTGCCCGCCACGTATGTATTACGCACCACATCTACTTGAGGTTCCACGCCTGCATCGTCATATCTGTTTATTCGGATCCACATGTACAATACCAAAATATGTCCTATCACAAGTATTCTGAAATCTTAAATTCTATATATAGAAAGACAGAAGCAATAAGCAGTGATGAGTTTCGTTATTGTTTATGTTTCATGAGAAAAGACTGAATCTTTACCGAAAGAAATATCATGAAAAGAAATGTTCTTTTGTTTCTTATCTGTACAAACTCACTCATCAAAGCAGTCTGTCAATGCCAGTCATTACAGCAGTTCATCATCCCTTTTCTTGACTTGATTCCAAAACGAATAACCTATTCATCAGATGTGGTTACTTTCTGGTAGATTCTAAGCAAAATGCAAAACTCATCAACTGTTCTTGGTCTCTTGACAAGGTTTGATTGAAGAACTCAAGCTCAGCTGCCCTCAGTCGTGTGTTCGAACTGCATGACATCCAGCAATTTTTGCTGCAGAAAAAACCTAAGTTCACACTTTTTCGACCTCACATCACTGCCAAACATGTTTGCTAACTGTTCTCTCTTCCTTTAATGGAGAAACTGAAACATGCCAGTATTGCAGACAGATGCATCCATCCCCCACTGTTCTTGGGAGACAGACATGGGTCATTTCTAGGGAAACTTCCTCTTGTAATACCAAAAGCGTTTTGTTCGACAGAGTGATCTGAACAAGACTTCTGACTTATGTGTGCGACAAGGCTTCCTCTTTTCCATTGCTACCGAATGAAATGGGATGCAGGATATTGACCTTGGCTCACCTTCTTCTTCTTCTTCGCTTCGCTTAAGAACAGATTGTAGCGATCCAACGATCTGTGGACGAGTCGGTGGAATCTTGAGAAGAGAAAGCTTGGGTTCGGTTCCTATCAAATACTATTATCGGCATTGTGAGGATGTGATGTTGACTCGAGTGTTTGGAATGGGGAGGATTCATGGCGACATGGTGTGGCCTAACAAGGTCGCACTGTGTAGTCAAGCCATATTTGGATGATTGACTTTCGCCAGAGGTCTTTTGTTTCCTTCTTTGGTGTGGTTCGATGTTCGTGGGTGGGCGTTGTCGGTCGCCTTGACTTTGACTTTGTCACGGACTTATCTCCATGGAAAGTGAGGCCAAGTAGTAAACCTCGTTTTCCTGTGATCACGGCCGTTGTTTTATGTTCTGTGATGATCCAACGGTTGATAAGTTTCCGGATCCAGAGAACGCCGCCACTACAAAAGCGCCTCGACGGAGCCGTGGAGATCGGCACTCGATCTCTCATTCGTTCTTCCGATGTCTAAACGTTCGATACTTTTCACCCTCCTCTTCTCTCTCTCGCTCTCTGCCGCCGCCCAGCAAGACGAGTTCACCTACATAGGCTTCTCCGGCGGCGCAAATGGCGGTGGAAGCAACATCAGCTTGAATGGGGTTGCGGAGGTCGACAACAGCGGGATCCTGCGGCTGACCAACGAGACGAGCCGGCTGATCGGCCACGCCTTCTACCCTGCGGCCCTCCGGTTCCGGAACGCCACCAGCGGCGCCGCCTTCTCCTTCTCCACCGCCTTCGCGTTTGCCATCGTTCCCGAGTACCCCAAGCTCGGCGGCCACGGTCTCGCCTTCACCATTGCGCCCACCAAGGAGCTGCCGGGGGCCCTGCCCAGCCAGTACCTCGGCCTCGTGAACGCCTCCGACGTCGGCAACCCCACAAACCACGTCTTCGCCGTGGAGTTCGACACCGTCCAGGACTTCGAGTTCGGCGACATCAACGACAACCACGTCGGGGTCGACATATACGGCTTGGTCTCCAACTCGTCCGCCTCCGCCGCCTACTATGGCGGCGACGGCGCCAAGAAGGACCTCAATCTCAAGGGCGGGTTCACGATCCAGGCTTGGATCGACTACGACGGAGGCGAGAAGGTTCTCAACGTCACCATTTCGCCTTTCTCCTCGAAGCCGAGTACGCCGTTGCTGTTGTTTCGGGTGGATTTGTCCCCAGTCCTCCTGGACGACATGTTCGTGGGCTTCTCCGCGTCCACTGGACTGCTCGCGAGCTCCCATTACCTCTTTGGCTGGAGCTTTAAGATGAAATGCGTCTCTCGGTCCCTGGATCTCTCCTCCCTGCCGTCGCTTCCTCTGCCGAAGAAGAAAAATATCACCTTGGCGATCGCCGCCTCTATCACGGCCTTTGTTCTGCTCATCACCGCAATCGCCGCCGCCGCCGCCTTCATCTTCTATAAGATCAAGAATGCCGACGTGATCGAGCAGTGGGAGTTCAGCTGCGGCCCCCATCGCTTCTCCTACGAGGAGCTGAAGCGCGCCACCCACGGGTTTCGAGACAGAGAGCTGCTGGGCTTGGGCGGGTTCGGCAAGGTATACAGGGGAACCCTTCCGGGCTCTCGGGCGGAGGTGGCGGTGAAGCGGGTCTCCCACGAGTCGAGGCAGGGGATCCGCGAATTTGTGGCGGAGATCGCTAGCATTGGGCGGCTCCGCCACCGGAACCTGGTCCAGCTCCAGGGCTGGTGCCGCCGCCGTGGAGACCTCCTCTTGGTATACGACTACATGCCCAACGGCAGCCTCGACAAGCTCCTGTTCTGCGACGATCCCTGCGGCCAGCCGCCACCGCTCATTTCGTGGCCGCAGCGCTTCAGAATCCTCCGTGGCGTCGCCTCCGCCCTCCTCTACCTCCACGAGGGGTGGGAGCAGGTGGTGATCCACCGGGACGTGAAGGCCAGCAACGTCCTCCTCGACGCCGAGTTCAACGGCCGCCTCGGCGACTTCGGGATGGCCAAGCTCCACGACCACGGCGCCAACCCGAGCACCACCCGCTTGGTGGGCACCGTGGGTTACCTTGCCCCCGAGCTCACCCGTACCGGCAGGGCCTCCACCAGCTCCGACGTGTTCGCCTTCGGCGCTCTGGTGCTCGAGGTGGTGTGCGGGCGGCGGCCCATCGAGCCCAAGGCGTCACCGGAGGAGCTGGTGCTGCTGGACTGGGTGAGGGAGCGGTGGAGCGCGGGGCGATGGGCGGACGTGGTGGATCCCCGGCTGGACGGCGAGTACGAACGCGAGGAAGCGGCGGTGGCGATAAAGTTGGGACTTTGGTGCTCCCACCCCTCGGCGGCGGCGAGGCCGGGCATGAGGGAGGTGGTGCGGTACCTCGACGGCGGTGACGTGGCGGAGTTGCCGCCGTTTCCCAGACCTCCGGAGAGTAACGGCGGTCTCGACGGCTTAGCACCGTTCTACCCTTCCTCCGCCGAGAAGGTCTCCACGGGGTCGACTTCTCTCGGAGAAGAGGCAGTGGGGTCCGCCCACTCATCTCTCTCCCTTCATTCCCATGATCCCATGCCAGAACAAGGTTTAGATCATTGCCGCCCTCCGTAATATCATCAAGATGATGAGAGAAAGACATCATGGGATGCGAACATGAGAGAATACTTCTCATCATTGGTTTCAGCTCCCAAACTCTGCATGTCATCATCGAATGTTTCGACGGCAACATCTTTCTGTCATGGAATGCTACTGACAGTTTATTCTCCATGTGTTTGCGGTCCTTTACAGTTTGTTTGGTGGCGATAAGACGATTCCATCCTCCTAAAGTCGGAGCTTTTCATTGCCAAGAAAGCATCTCATTGCCATCTTGTTTAGCACACGTGGAGCACGTGCTAGAACCTCCCATCCATCATTTTTAGTTGTTCTTAAAAGACCCAAAAAGCACTCTCCTATATATATATATATATATATATATATATATATATATATAAAAATGAAAATTAAGGGTATGAAATTGAATCGATTTCAAGAATGATTGGATGTTGGTCCAACTGGGATGAGATCGCACTGGTGATGACCCACCCACTGAATAAGCCCAACGGGAAAAGACCGCGTTATTCGACAAAAGCCCATCGTTGCATCGCATGGTTCGTAGAATCTTATCTCGCTTTGAGTTCACAATTCGATCGGTGATGCCATGAGATCCCCGTCTCCTCGTGCGTAGGTTGCGTTGGATGACTTCCCCGTGCAAGTCGAATCGGCATCCGTTCGTCAGCCGACATGCCGTAAACACCACCCCGTTCGGTGGCGCTGGACCGAGTCGAGAACAATGCTAGTGACGAGCAGGAATAGTCGCCGCTGTTCTTTCTCTGAAAGTAGAAACAAGAGC